TGGCACCCGGTGTGCTCTTCTGCTGCTGTAGTTGTCAGTTACCTACTTTTGGCAGTACTAGTTGTCATTTAACCCCTTATGGGAGCACTAGTTTAGGTTAACTACTTCTGTGAGTTCTAGTTGTCAATAAATTGTTGGTTAACCTCTGTGAGTACTAGTTGTAGATTAACAACTTCTGTGACTACTAGTTGTCAACAAGTTTTCAGATAACTACTTCTGTTAGTTCTAGTTGTCAACAAGTTTTCAGTTACCTTTTGTAACTTCATAAGGTAACTACTTATGCAAGTACTATTTGTCAGGTAACTACTTATGTAAGTACTAGTTATCAGTAAGTTGTCAGTTACCTACATTTGTGAGTACTAGTTGTCAAGAAGTTGTCGGTTAACAACTTCTGTGAGTACTAGTTGTCGGTTAACAACTTCTGTGAGTACTAGTTGTAGTTTTTTACAAATAAAATGTCAAAATACTTTTAAAAGTATTCTGTTAACTACTTATGTGAGTAGTATTTGTCAGGTAACTACTTATGTAAGTACTAGTTGTCAAGACGTTGTCGGTTAACAACTTCTGTGAGTAATAGTTGTAGGTTAACAACTTCTGTGAGTACTAGTTGTCAACAAGTTGTCAGTTACCTACTTTTTGTGAGTACTAGTTTTCAGTTAACTTCTTATGTGAGTACTAGTTGTCAACAAGTTTTCAGTTACCTTTTGTAACTTCATAAGGTAACTACTTATGCAAGTACTATTTGTCAGGTAACTACTTATGTAAGTACTAGTTATCAGTAAGTTGTCAGTTACCTACATTTGTGAGTACTAGTTGTCAAGAAGTTGTCGGTTAACAACTTCTGTAAGTAATAGTTGTAGGTTAACAACTTCTGTGAGTACTAGTTGTAGGTCTTTTACAAATAAAATGTCAAAATACTTTTAAAAGTGGTAGGTTAACTACTTATGTGAGTACTAGTTGTAAAGTAACTAATTATGTAAGTACTAGTTGTCAGTAAGTTGTCAGTTACCTACATTTGTGAGTACTAGTTGTCAAGAAGTAGTCGGTTATTTGTAGTCACAAATTCTGTGAGTACTAGTTGTAGGTTAACAAATTCTATGAGTTCTACTTTTGTGAGTACTAGTTGTCAGGTAACTACTAATTTTTTAACATTTTCTTGAGTTTGAATAAACTCTGAAATGAGAATATATATATATATATATATATATATATATATATTAATGTTTTACTTAATAAATACTTTATGCAGTAATCATCAAGTGTTTCCCAAAAATTTTACACTGCAAAACAAATGCTTTTTTACTTAAAACTAGTTTTGGTCTTGTTTCTAGTCCAAATATCTAACAATTCTAACTTAAATCAAATTTTCTTGACAAGTACAAATAATTGTCATGCTTTTTACAAATAAAATGTCAAAGTTAAGCAAGTTTTTCCTTAAAACAAGCTAAATAATCAGCCTAAGTTGTAAGCACAATTATATTATTTCAAAATGGAAAGTAGTTTATTTTGATTACCCCATTGGCAGATTATTTGTCTTGATTTAAAGAAAAAACTCACTTAATTTCGACACATTATGTCTAAAAACAAGTCAGGATTTTTTACTTGTCAAGAAAATGCTTCCTGATTTCAGAATTTGTAGATATTTGCACTAGAAACAAGACGAAAACTCATTTTTTCGCAGTGTCTTTAAACACAACATTTACCACACCAGGAAAGCCATAGATTATGTGATGCAAACATCGAAACGCATTTGCCAACAGATGATCCATTAGACTTAAAGTGCACTGAGATCATAACACAGGCAACTGGCTGTAAATAATACCCATGAAGATCTTTATAACAGTTGTTGGTGTTTTACAGGCACTTGTGCCCAGCAGGAATCGCCACTGAATTGTATGTATAGGCATAAATGTAGAGCGACATGGGCTTGTCATCTCTGAAATGGCAGATAACAGCACATCTCTGACACCTAGGAGTGAATCATCACTTCTGAAGGTGCATTTACTGTGTTTTACAGCGTGGTTTTGACACATCCGCCACAGGCCACCCATCAGGACGGCTTCACGTCGTCCGTATGCCGCTGTTATTCACCCAATTCTCCCTCAGGCACAGCTTAAAGTTGCTGACTTCATTAAACGTCAGTCACCCGAGGCAAACATGGGGGCTAGTCTGATGCGGTTAGCATGCTAGTGCACCTGACAGATGCGCAGTGCAGCTAGATGTCGACAAACATCTGATCCCGTCGCCTCAGGCCACAGATACTACAGAAACGTGTTGTGTGCATGACGGACAGTTATGCAAAGCGATATATTCGTGCGGCTAATCCCACTTAGCATGTTTGTTATCACACAGGTACATCATCCATATTTAAACACAAGCAAACAACAGCTGGAAACTGAAGCGACACGCTCTTCGGCCTTCAGGAGACGCAAAGTCTCTTATTTTTTGGCTGTAATTGATTGGGCGGGAGAAATAAGCCCCCCAAAAGCTTGAATTAAAACTTCAATCCCCCCTACGTTAGACTCAATTTCATCCGTGACCCGACATTATACAAATGAGCCAGGAGCGGATAGGTGAAGATGGAGATGGGATGGGGGAAGGGGATACACTCTTTCTATTGTTCAAGGATCTCTTGAAACACTTTTGGTATTGTGGGGCGTCAACAATATGGCGGGAGCCGAATTATTAGTCCCCTAAAATGTTTGATTAAAAGAAATGTAGAGTATAACACAAAGACAACCCTGCTGAAACATCCAGCTTAAACCAGCCTAGGCTTGTTTTCATATCTCAGGAGAGGAATTTCTCAATTTGATGCAACATTGAGAGTGTATTGTCATGACTTTGTGTTTTCCTTGGTGTTTTTAACCCTTGTGTGCTGTTCGGGATGTTTGTGATCAACTTTGAGTCTTAATTTGGCCACAACCTTCTCTGTGCTTCAGCAAATGGAGTGATTTTTAATGACAAATCTTATATTTATACATTTTTTGGGGGGAAAATGCTTTAAAAATATGCAAAAATTCAAGAATACTCTGTGAGCAAATTGACTCCGCTTTCGTTGTGTTGGGGGCTGTTTTTGCCCCGTTGACTTCCATTATAATTCATTTACTTTTGATTGCAATCCATAACAGCATGTAATCATGCATTCCTGATTGTCGCTGGTTTTCTCATTTGGGAAGAGGTACAATTTGTCGTTTTTACAATTTTTATTGCATTATATTGAGTCACATAAGTTTTTTTTTTTAATGACTGGAATAATAAATAAAGGTATATGTTGTTCAAACATTCATTCATTTTCTTGTCGGCTTAGTCCCTTTTTTAATCCGGGGTCACTACAGCAAAATGAACCGCCAACTTATCCAGCAAGTTTTTACGCAGCGGATGCCCTTCCAGCCGCAACCCATCTCTGGGAAACATCCACACACACATTCATACACTATGGACAATTTAGCCTACCCAGTTCACCTGTACTGCATGTCTTTGGACTGTGGGGGAAACCGGAGCACCCGGGGAAAACCCACGCAAAGGCAGGGAGAACATGCAAACTCCAGATTAATAAAGGGACTAAGCCGACAAGAAAATGATTGAATGAATGTATAATTTCACAACAGCGCTAATAATATTGGCTTCATCTGTATTTAGTAAAAACGTTGTTGTGTTGCCAAAAATTATTATAACAAATAAAATCGCTGGAGTTGTTTTTAGCATTTTGACCAGTTTTTCATTATAAAAAAAATAAAATAGGATTAATTTTGTTTTGCAAACCAAACAAAACAATTATAGTGAACTTAAACATTAATCTATAAACCATAAATGTGATGTCTCATTTTTTTATAGCTGTATATATAAAACATTACTTTCATTTATTCATGTATTATTACTTCAGACATTATTGATTATGTTCACCTGTGCCTTGTTTAGTCACTTTATATTTCATTCATATATATTTAATCATGTATTTAATCATGAATTATATATATATATATATATATATATATATATATATATATATATATATATTT